GAAACCCCCTTCATCCTTTGAAGTTCCATCAGGTACAGATTAACCTCTCCTCATAAGATAACCCTCTCATTCTACATATTTGCCAAGTAAACCTTCTGTGGACTGTCTCTAATGCACTGAGATACTTCCTTAAATAAGTGACCAATACTGCGCACAATACTCAAGACACTTCAGTGTCTTGGTCAATATATATTTCTTGTCTGTTGAAAACTGATATAACTGAACTGGAAAAGCAAACATTTGGTTCACAACAATTTAACAATGAGCGAAATGCCAGTGTAAGGTGGTTAATGAGCCCATTACTAAACGGATTCATGTGCACAGATTGAATGCTGAAAAAATTATCAGAACACGCACCCATTTTTACTACATTTATACAACTTCAGTATTTCTGACATCGCAACAATGACTATACTTCAGAAAGTGCATCATTGACTATAAAGCACTTGGGGATATTTAAGGTTCTGAAAGGCACTATGGAAATGTAAGTTCTTCCCTTGTTCTTCAAAGACTTTTAGCTGCTTGCTGAAACTAAATTGCAGCTGGAAGAGTGCTGTGGTTTTGTATTTAAGGCAAATTGAAAAGTGTTGCACACAATTTCACTGTGAATAGGGAGTTCAGAAATCTTCCAACATGAAGACCTTTCCTCAATGTAGCAATTAATCAGGTATTAAGTTGTGATTTGGAGTAGTAGGTCACTTATGTAAAGGACAAAACTGAGTTATGTAATAATTATGATTATATTTAATCCTTTGTAGGATATTAAAGTATACCAACCTTAAAACTGAAAACATTGCAGTTCATGTCCATAACTTGTTGGTATGTTTTTCGGGATACCCAGTTGTTATTCACACTGTATAACAATTGAATTAATGTAAGATACTATCATAACTTGATACCTTTATCAGGAAGATATTTGTCAAAATAACTGTACAAAAGTGAATAAAAGATGAATTAATAGGTATTTCTTGAGGTAAGTTACTTTATGTTGGGACAAAGGAACTAATTGGTGTATATACCTTTCATTTGTTGCCATGTTACCTGGGATTGAAGTCAGGATTGTGTAATAAATGACAGAACTGAAAACGTTATAAAAATTATTAGCACAGATTCATGACTGTCAGCATGGGGTAGAGTCTCCACTTTGGATAGAGTTTTGAATCTGGAATTGTGCTGATTTTCATAACTGAGAGGCAAAGGTTAACAGGGGTTGACAGGAAAGTGGAATTGAGGCTATAATCAGATCAACCATCATCTTAATAAATGGAAGAGCAGCCATGAAGGATCAATTGGCATACTCCTGCTACTAATTTGCAATAAGGAATTCCACAGACCTGTTACCCCTGAGAGAAGAAGCCAAGGCAAAAAGTTTAAGAACAGGGAGGTATGCTGGAACTGTAAAAAGCATTATTTAGGCCACAGCTAGATTATTGTTTGCAGTCTGGAATCCACATTATAGGAGGCATGTGATAGCACTGGAGAGGATGCAGAGGAGATTTACAAGAATGTTGACAGGGCTGGAGAGTTTTAGTTGCAAAGAGAGATTGGGTTGGTTTCTGTGGAGCAGCAGAGACTAAAAGGTCACATGTTTGAGGCTTATAAAATTATGAGGGGCATAGGTAGTGTAAACAGTAAAGAATGTTTCTGTTTGTTGAGGGATAAATGACCAGTGGCATAGATTTAAGTAAAAAGGCAGGAGGTTTAGAGGAAAGGTAAGGAAATTTTTTTCCACTTGGAGTGAACTTGGAACTCACTGCCTATAAGGATGGCAATGGCAGAAATCCTCATAATATTTAAGAAGTGTTTAGAGATGCACTTGTGATGCCAAGGCAGACAAGACTAAGGCCAAGTTTGGGAAATGGAAATAGAATAGTCAAGTGGTTGTTTTTGACCAGTGCAGTCTTGATGGGTCGATGGCCCTTTTTTGTGTTGTAGCCCTCTACAACTCTATAACTCCAAAAATAGTCTCCTCATCTCGGTTTAAATGGGCATTCACTTACTTTGAGATTATGTAGTTTGGTCCTAGACTCTCCCACTAGGGGAACCATCTTCTGTACATCTACCCCGTCAAGTATCCCAAGAATCTTGTATGTTTCAATAAGTTTGCCTCTTGTTCTTCTAAACTCCAATGAGCTCAACATTTTCATTCTCTTATCAAAAGAAAATTCCTCTATACTCCTAATCAATCTTCTGAACCTTCTCTGGACTGCCCCCAATGCTGGTATATCTTTCCTTGGATATAGGAACCAAAATGAATAGAATAGAATGGAATACTAATTTATTGTCACTTGTATTTTTTACAAAAAAAATACAGTGAAAAGTGTTTAAGTCACCATAGTCTGTAATATGTCTGTCATTTTAATAACAAATTATATATATTCTAGGAAAAGAAAACATTAAGACAAAGTCCATCTTAGTTCAATTCACAGCCCCATAACGCCTGAGGTCGAGGAAACCCAACACTGAATCCGCCGAAAGGAATCCTGGGCTGGACCCACCATGGCGCCGAAGAAGCCACCACAAGAAATCCCAGGCTGGGTTCGACCCACCATGCTGCCAAAGCCGCCACCAATGCAGGCCACCACGTCACAGGACCCACCAGGACATAGCCACGATGACTACAAGGAACAGAGATAGTAGGAACAGCCAGATCCACACCGCATTCTCCGCTGCAGCAGACTCCCCAAATTACCTTCCACCCCAGCAGCTGCCAAAAGAAGCTAAGATGAATTTTGATGTTAGAAAATTAGAATGTGACCAGCCTGGTGATCAGAAGCAGATGGGCCAGGGGACAGAACACTTCCTACTCTGCTGCTGCCGTCTTGATAAGGGTGGAGCTAGAGGGGCACAGCAGGTCAGGCAGCATCAGAGGAGCAGAAAAGTCGATGTTTCGGGTTTACACTCTTCATCAGTACTGGTGAAGACTTTCCTGCTCTTCTGACACTGCCTGGCCTGCTGTGCTCCCCAGTTTATTGAATCCGACTCCAGCATCTGCAGTTCTTGCTATCTCTTGAGTAAGGGTGGGCTTCTAGGCGTGGTTTGAGTAGTGACTTCTATAGATTTAGATTTGATTGACACATACCTGTTTCACTTGCTGCTGACATTTGTATATCCAAATCACCGGAGTTTAAATTTGCCTGACAACTTTATACAAGACTCTAATCACAAATGTTATATAATACAATAACAATTAGTCCGAAAATTACTTCATCTGACGAAGGAGTAGTGGTTCGAAAGCTTGTGATTTTAAATAAACCTGTTGGACTATAGCCTGATGTTGTGTGACATCTGACTTTGCCGGAAAAACAGAGTGCGTTGGTGCAGTGTGAGTACATTGAGAATCCCTTGCGACAGCGTTCGGAAATGTGGAAGGCACTGCCTTCTTACAATGATCCTGCTGGAGCCCACCCCCTGAATAAGCCCCACCCACACGCGGGAACTCGGGTTGTTATTGGATGATTCGAATGGCGCTTTCTGCGGGATGAATGGCGGTTTAACAATCACTGAGGTGAGTGGGCGGGAGGCCAGGCCAATCAGGGAGGAGGTGGGCATTGAGGGGACGGCTGAGGCCGGTTTAGGGAGGGAGGATAGCAGGACCCTGGAGGAGCCGGGTAGTGCGGCTGCTGGTGGATCTTCAGGTGTTATTTTGTTTCTTTCTCTGTGTTACATTTTAGAGACAAAGTTGCCACTGCTCCACAGAATGGAGCCGGGGCTCTTGGATACGGAGGGAGTTACTATAAATCCTGGGGTATAGGTGCAGGGTACCAGTGAGATTACAGGAGGGTGTAGTGGAGAGCAGAAGGTGGTTAAAAGTGGATATGTGGGAAGATACACGGGATTACAATGGATACGGGGGAGGAAGGGGGTGGGGTTAAAATGGAAAGCTTGGGGAGGGAGTTAAACAAAGGGAAGTTACGGGGGTTAGAGTGGATAAAGGGGGATTACACAAGAGAGGATCCAAGGAGTTAGAGTGGATACAAGGAATTACAGCATATACGGGGGAAAATATAGAGTCGGTAAAGGAAAGTGCAAAGTGATTAGAAGGCGTATAAGGAAGGTTGGAGTGGATATGGGACGTTTAGAGTAATTGGAGGGAGCGTACAGTGTTCACAGATTGGATTCAGGAGGATTGCAGCAAGTTAATGAGGGCCCAGGGGCTAGGTGGCGTGCTGGGGAGTTTACATGGTGGCTAGAGATGTTAGGAGCACAGAGGGTTAAAGTGGGTATTGGGGATGGAGGGTTGAATTGGATACACCTGGGTGTGGGAATGGGTACTTTTCTAACCCATCTTATCCCTTGTGGAATTGAAGCTGTAATGAATCTCTAACACTGGGTGATGTCAATCAGGACAAGTTGGTTTGTGTTTGGGCTAGCTCAGATTTTGGAGTTAAAATTTGGAGTAGAGAAAACAAGGGATTTTTGTCGGGATGGGGTTGAGACTTAATAACATAACTTTGAATTTGAAACTCTGAAGAACAGGCAACAAGTGGAGAACAATGACATTGGGAGTGAGGGGTGAGAAGGGGTGAATGGGATTTTATGGGGCATGGGGAAAGGTCTAATGGTCAAAATGAGGAAGCTGCATGAAGGCTGAGCATGGAACGGTAGTATAAAGCAGACTGTCCCTGCAAAAATGTTATTTTTCAAATAAATGTTAGAACTGCATTCTACAGCTTATCCAAGCCCTATTAGTGCAATTAAGTTTGTAGCTCACAGAGTGCTGTAAATCTGTCTAAATGTTTTTGCATTATTTAGATCTTATATCCTCTGATATTTTAAATGCTTTCTTAAGTTTCTTTTGTTAAGCTGTTAATTTCATAATGGACAAAGTTTGCTTTTGAGATTTATAGAATTTCCTTAGTTTATATGTCTCTATGTATTAATTTAATGACAACTCAAATGTTCAAACTTGGGCTCCTCAAAAATCAGTAGCTTGCATTAGAATTATAAAACTGCTGAACGGGAGCTCCTGTTGTGGTAGAATTTAGGGATTCAAAAGGCAATCAGCGTACAAAATCCATTGATCTCTGTACTGAATATACTCAACAAATGAGCATGCAGAACTCTGTAAGATAAGGAATTCGAAAGCTTCATAATTCTTTGAATATGGACAAAATGTTCTGCTACCAATACACAGGCCTGTCCCTTTAAGGCTACAAAACTTCAGTTGGTAAGTGAAAGTTGGATGAGCTCATTCAGAGGTTAATTGCTATTCCAAATCTGGATTTGTGTGTTGGGAAATCTTGCTGCAGACCTGTCCTGTACATTGCAAGCTGCAGTCTTTGTTAAATACTTTCTTAAGAATGTTGTACTCTGTTAAATGCTGTGGCAGATTATGTATTGTGATGTGCCAAGCAAACATATTTTGTTAATTGAGCATTCTGTACCCATTAATTCTTAGTAAATATGACACACAATTATCGCAGTCAGGTTCAAGTGATGCAATTGTATTTCAGTTCTTGCCAAGTTTCAGCCATGTCTCCTGTTCAGTGTTTCCTATTGCATATGGCTGCTAATAAACCAAAAATCAAATAAGATCATTGTGTTTAAGTATAACCCAGTGTTGAATGGGAACAAGATTTGTCTTTTATTGTTTGTTTTTTAAACACTTTTTTTGTCCCTTCTCTCCTCTGCATTATTATTGAACAGATTAGTTTACAGGGAAAGACTTTTTTTTAAGCAAAACAGGAGGAGCTGTTTGCACAAGTTAATGAGGTAGGTTTAAAATCACTAAAAAGAGGAGAAAAGGGCAGACAGGGAATCTGAGCATTTTGGGTCCAGGCAATTAAAAGTGCAGCTGTTGATTTTTGGAGCAATTGAAGTTCGGCATCCTCCAATAGTCAAAATTGGTACAATGCAAAGATCATAGAAGTTTGGAGGGCTTGAGGAAGTTAGTGACATGGGAAGGTTGAGGTTTAAGGAGGGATTTGAACTGGCCAATGAAAATATAACACTAATCAGGGCAAAAGGAATTCCAGATTTGAATTACTCAATGCAAAAAGACTTGTGTTCTTAAATGTGCATCAATACGTACAGTTTGTTCAGTTCTTAGGTTTTGTGCACTTGGATCGTTCTCCGTTTCAAACAGCTGAAAATTCCTTTTTTTGAAACAAGGAACTTGAGCGTTCTACTGGTTGTAGTCGTTATAAAAATGAGTCACATTTGTTTGCACGTGGAACAAGTTTGCTTGCAGCCTAACCACTCCCAATCTACTCCATGAAAAAAGACAGAATTGTTCAACAGTATACAGTGTTTGCCTATTGGGATAAGAGCAAAAATAAACACGTGTTGTACTTGTTATAAGCGGCTGTGTTGGCCCAGTGAGGAGCAGTTTCCCTCACTTGAGTCAGAGGTTGTGGTTAAATCCCTGCTGCCCTTGACTTCTACATGGTTGTGGGTTTGGAAGGTGCTGTCTCAAGATCCTTGGTGAATTCCTGCAGTACATCTTGTAGATCGTACACACTGCTACTCAACACTGGTGGAGGGAATCGATGCTTGTGGCTGTGGTATCAAGCAAGCGGCTTTGTCCTCAATGGTGTCAAGCATCTTGACTGTTTCAGGCAAGTAGGGAGAATCTAAGTTTACAAAGTTTGCATTAAGTGTGGTGCAGTGCAGCATGAAAATATTAATTTCCCTTTTTTCATAACTTAAACATTTACAAATATAAGTTCACTTGATATTTAAATGCATTTTGGTGAATGGTATTTCTTATTGATTGATTTTTTTTTTCTTTGAAAGATGTGCGATGAGTTATTGTGACCTGCTATTGATATGTTTTAGACTCAGGATGTGCTGTATTGTCAGCCTTGGCTCAGTAGGTAGCACTCACTTAACTGAAGGCTATGGGGTTCCAGTCTCTTCAAAGACTTGAGTACAAAGTGCAGACTGACCATTTAGTTCAGTAGTGTGGAAATGTGGTACTTTGGAAGTGCCATCTTTCTGATGTGGCCCAGCCTGTCCTTCGCAGTTGGCCATTAAAAGTCCCATGCCACTACATTTGAAGTAGAGGTGGGGTATTTTCCATGGTATCCTGGGCCTTATTTTATCCCTCAGACAAGATCACTTAAACAGATTTGATGGTCATTTATCACATTGCTGGTTGTAAGAGCTTGCCCTGTGTAGATGAGATGGTGCTTCCCACACTGCAATAGTGACTGCAGCCTGTTGTACAGGGCAATATTGAGACCACACCTGGAGAACTGTGTGGAGCTTTGGTCTCCTAATCTGAGAAGGGATGTTCTGGCAACGGAGGGAATGCAATAAAGGTTTCCCAGACTGATTCCTGGGATAGGAGGACTGAAGTACAAAGAGAAATTGGATTGGTTAGGACTATACTCATTGAAGTTTAGAAGAATGAGGTGGGATCTAATAGAAACCAATAAAATTGTAACAGGACTAATAGGCTAAATGCAAGAAAAATATTCTTGTTGACCTGGAAGTCCAGAGCTAGGGGTCATAGTCGGAGGATATAGGGTAGGTCATTTAGGATTGAGGCAGGTTTCTTCACCTGGAGAGTGGTGAGCATCTAGAATTATCTGCCACAGAAAGTGGCAGGTCCAAAATTTTGAATATTTTCAAGAAGGAGTCAGACATAATTCTCAGGGCTAAGATCAATGCGTGTGGGGAGAAAGCTACTGGTACAGGGCACTGAGTTGGATGATCAGTTGCGATCATATTGAATGGCAGAGTAGGCTCAAAGAACCAAATGGCCTAGACCCCTCTCTTTTTGTATTTTTGGGACATTTGAGGTGATGTCAACGCAAGATTTTTCCTTCATCACTTCATGATGGGAGATTTCACAGACAATGGTTATGTTGTGTCTTAATCCTCACTTTAAAGCCCAGTGATTATCAAGTTGAATCCATGGCGTATATTCAATTGCAAAGGAATACCCAACTCTTGGTTTTATTAAATTCATGAAAGGTTACCACTATATTTTAAGGTCATGGGTATTTTAGATTGGAATGATGAAAGTAGAACTCGGCCATATAACCCTTCCAGCCTGCTGCACTATTCATGTGATCTGATTGTGGCCTCAACTCCACTTTTGTATCTGCCTCCCATGACCCGTAACTGGTTTGTTAATCAAAAATCTATCTCACGTTAAACATCTGGTCAAATACAGGAGAGTGTGCTAACTGGCTGAGATGAAACGGGACAGGAGGATGCTTGTAGAGAGCATGTATTCTGCCACAGACCAAGAGAGGCCAAATGGCCTGTTTCTGGACTGTGTATTCTGTAAGTCCAATATTTCTGGTTTCTGCATGGCTGAGTGTAGACTAGATCTTCAAAATACTTTTAGTATTCCTTGATAATTTTCAGGCGCATGATCCTGAATTTGTTCAACTTCTATCCAAGGTTAACGTTTCTTTGGCTAATGAAAATTGGTGAGAGGTTCAAGGTAGAGTTAACCAGCACTTGTCCTGCATTAAACCTATAGGTCAGCATTTCTCCAGTTTTTGTTAGTCCACAACTGAAGGTTTAATTTAGCAAGTTACAAAGTGGCCCAGACATATCATTAGTGAGAGATGGGCTGGCAAGGCTGGCATTCACTGCCCATCTTTAATTGCCCTTGTGAACCCAGGCCTCAAACTGATGCAGTCCATGTAGTGTAGGTCCATGCAAGCACTGTTTGGGACAGAGTTCAAGGATTTTGATCCAGTGACACTGAAAGCATGGTGATTATAGTTCTAGGTCGGAGGGGTATGTGGTTTTGGGGCAGATCTTGCAGGTAAGTGTCTCTGGGCATCTCCTGCCATTGTCCTTCTAGGTGGTGGTCAAGAATATATTGACTTGTTCTCAAAACTGTGTTTTGAGGTGATTTGTAAAACTGATGTATTGGAATCGTATGACACAGCCCAAGGAAGCTGTTCAGCCCATTTGTGGATATGCCAGCATATTGATATAGCTATGATTCTAAGGTACGAACTGGATAGAATGGAATCATAGAATCCCTACAGCATGGAGGCAGGCCATTTGGCCCATTTGAGTCCACATTGACCCTCTAAAGAGCATGCAACCCAGACCCACCCCTCTATCCTGTCCCTGTAACCCTGTAATTTCCGTGGCTTAGCCATCTAACTTAGACATTCCTGGATACCATGGGCAACCTAGCACGGCCAATCCATCGAACTGGACATCTTTGGACTGTGGAAGGAAACTGGAGGAAACCCATGCAGACATCGGGAGAATGTACAAACTCACCACAGATGGTTGCCTGAGGGTGGAATCGAGTGTAGGTCCCTGGTGCTGCGAGACAGTATTGTTAACCACTGAGCCATCCTTTGGCCTTTCAGGGATCTCAAATGAACAGTCAGATTGGAAAATAGCAAATGGTAATTCTCCTATTCGAGGAAGGAGGCAGCCAAAGCAGGAAACTACAGGTCTAATGTCTGTCATGGGAAGATGGGAGAATCTATCACTGAGGAAGTTATAACAGGGCACTTGGAAGATCTTGAGGCAATCAGGCAGAATCAAAAAGGTTGAAAGAAAGGTATGTCAGTTTTGACTAACTTATTAGGGTTTGTTGAGGAAGTAGCAAGCTGTAGAAGAAAGGGAACCAAGGGCATACGCCAGAAGGTGTTTGACAAGTTGTCACATCACAGGGTACTGTGAACAATAAAAATTCATGTGTAGAGGGTGACGTGTTGGTAAGGAGAAAAGATTGGTCAGATAACAAGAAGCAGAGTGTGGGAATAACTGGGCCATTTTTCAGTTTCACAAGTTGTGATGAGTGGTGTCCAACAGAGATCAGGACTGAGGCATCAATTTAGAACCCCTATTAATGAAAGTACTGAGTGCATAATTGTTAAACTTGCTGATAAGGCAGATAGCTGTTGAGTTGTGAAAAGGATGCAAGGAGTCTACAAAAGGGATATGGATGGGTTAAGTGCATGGGCAAAAGTTTGGCAGTTGGAATATGATGTAGGTAAATGTGAACTTGTCCACTTTGGCAGAAAGAATATCAATTTCTAGTTTAAATGAAGAGAAATTGCAGAACTTGATGGTATCCAGGGATCTGGGAGTCCTGGTATGGGAAGAATAAACATGAGCATACAAGGAGATTTGGTAGGCAAGTGGAATGTTGTAGTTTATTGCAAGGGGGAATAAACATCAAAGCAGGGATGTTTCATGATATTTGTATACTGTGGCGAAATCCCAACTGGGAGT